TACCTGTGCTCTGAAATTAAAACTGAAAACCTCGTGTGCTTTTAGTAAAAGAAAAAAAAAAAAAAGTCGACAGCTCCCGGTCTAGCCATTTTAGAGAATATCTGGCAGTTTTTAGTGAAATTAAACAGCTCTTAAAAATTAGCTCCCGGGATGGGGCGCCTGGGTGGCTTAGTCGGTTAAGCGTCCGACTTTCGCTTAGGTCATGATCTTGCGGTTCGTGGGTTCGAGCCCCGCGCCGGGCTCTGTGCTGACTGCCAGCTCAGAGCCTGGAGCCTGTTTCAGAGTCTGTGACTCCCTCTCTCTCTGACCCTCCCCTGCTCACGCTGTCTCTCTCTCTCTCTCCTAGAAATTAAAAAAAAAAAAAAAATTAGCTCCCGGGAAATCCTGGAGGGAATCCCTGTTTCCTCAGGCTCATACTAAATGTCCATTGTTAGGTTAAGGCATATATAAGAAAGTAGTGCCTGCATGTGATGGAATGCTACACAGGTATCAGCAGAATTGTACGTATTTAAATGTAGCACTTTTTACATATTTAAAACAGTGATGAATATGAATGCCATGAGAATTATGGCATAAATTATGTAAACTAAAAGGGTAGAATGCAACACTATTTTTCAAGCATACATACAGGTTTGTCATGTATTAGAGTGCATCTGTCTGGCACGAGAGGAGATGACAGGAACGGATGGGTACTGGGGTAATAACCCGTACTAAAATATGAAGAGACACCTTTGTAGACCCAGGATTAAGACCAAAGTGAATGGAGGTGAGAAAAAGGGCCACAGTGAGCACGGACAACTTTTTCCAGAAGGAAGCTGAGAAGGAGGACAGTTTGATGAAGATGTAGGGCGAAGAGGGAGAGAGTTAAAGACGGGACATAGTGGAGGAGCATGTCTGGATGCTAATGGGGACAGTTAGGTAGAGAGGAGAAGGCGGGGACTTGGCACGTGGAACTCATAAAAGGGACTTAGTGTTTGAGATGGTGAGAGGCAAGAGAATGGCCTGTGGTGGGAAGAGGGTGGATCCTGCAGCTCATAGGAGAGACTTGGAGTGGAGGAAAGCTGAGGGTATGTTTGTGTGTTTTGGGGGTATCTATGGACTTGGAGATGGATGGTGGGGAGAGACATGAAATTGTTTTGGTGAGTGGGAAGGGAGTCCTCCAGATTAATTGGAAGATCATTGGACATTGCTGAAATGCCAATTTGAGGTCTGTGTTTCAGAATTGTGGAGTGTGTGTTATAGGAGGAGGGCTCCAAGCAGTAGAGCAAGGGAGGAGTGATATGGGAGGGAGAAACTCCAGCTAGTGCTGTTATGGAGGCCGCAGACCACTGGGCCAGCACAGACTGGGGAGGGGACCACAGAAGGGGGGAGTGAGTATTATATGGGGGTCGCAGGACAGGCAAGGAGATTTGGAGAAAAGACTGGACAAAATCAAAGAGGTGAAGGGAAGGTGTTTGAGGCAGAGGATGGGCACAGAGTGTGAGGGACACAGATAGGGCAGCAGAGAGGAGATCCTCTCTGGGAACAAGGTGGTTCCTAGCCCAAGAGGAGAGCTCTGCTGGGTGGGAAGGTGGCCGCAGAGCCCTCCCCTGCCTCACATGCATACCCCAACTCCAGGCACTTCCCCCCCACCCCCATGTCCTGGAGGGAGGGCTGAGGCAACTCTGCTCCCAACCTCTGGGCACCAGGGTAAAACAAGGGGACCATGAGGGCTCCGGAGCCTGTGCAAAGGAGAGGCTTTCTGATCTGACTCACTTCTACTCAACTTCAGTTCAGCCTAAAGGTGTTCTGCTCTGGGTGCCACTGCCCTGTTCTCAGACCAGGAGTCAGGCCAGGGAAGCACGAGCAAGGGCTTTGGTGAATGGGGGGGCCCTGGATGGAGCCCAGTTGTGTGCAAGGAATAAGTTGAAGAACCCAGTGCAAAATGAGTAGATGATACCTCCCTGACATTGGATTAATTTCCTTACCATGAATAAAAGCTATAATTTTGAAGAAGAAGGATGGCTTGTTTTGGTGTATTCTAAAAAAAATTTTTTTAAATGCTTATTTACTTGAGCGAGAGACAGAGCAGGAGCGGGGGAGGAGCAGAGAGAAAGGGAGACACAGAATCCAGAGCAGGCTCCAGGCTCTGAGCCGTCAGCATAGAGCCCAAAGAAGGGCTTGAACTCATGAACCGTGAGATCATGATCTGAGCCGAAATCAGGCACTCAGCTGACTGAGCCACCCAGATGCCCTTGGTTTGGTTTATTCTAATACCATGTTTCTCAAAGTGTGGTTCCCAGACCAGCAGTGCCAACACTCCTTGGGGATGGGTTAGCAGTGCTAACTCTCAGGCCACCTAGATGAACGAATCAGAAACTTCTGGGGCCGGGCTCAACCATCTCTACTGACAAGTCCTGGAGGTGATTCTAATGTACGCTCAAGTTCTAAGGGAATTTCCACTCCCATCTCCAAATGCTGGCCTCTCTTAAACCATCTTGCTGCTGGGCCCAGGGGCAGGATGTGCAAGTGAGGACTTGAAGTTGGAGTTAGTAAAATGAAGGCCTAATGTGAAGACCTGGTAAGGAGCTTCCTTATTTTCACCACACAGGAGTCTGGAGAACAGCTTTGGAGAGCCCCTGTGCCAACGTCAGGACCATGGGCAATCTTGAAAGAACATAACTCAGATGCCCTTGACTTTACAGGGATGAGGTCATCATAGGTGGTTTTCCTGCCTACCAGACAGCCTAGGGACCACTGAAGAGTTATAAGACAACTTAAGAAAATATCAGGAGCACTTAAAGAGATTCAAGTAGTGTACCAAACAAACAAACAAACAAACCCAAACAAACAACTTGCTGGAACTAAAGAAACATTATTTCAACAAAAAAGTCAGTATATGTCTTGAAAGAGAGAAGCCTGGGCACTTCTGAGACTCAAATTAGTGGCTTGGAAGAACAAGTGGAAAAAATATTTCAAAGCATGGAGCAAATAGTACGAAGAGATGGAAATAGCGAGGAAAACATGAGATTTGGAGAATAGGTCCAGTAGCCCTAACATTCAAATATATTAGCTCCAAAAGAATGAAGGCATAGATGGAGGAGAGGCAATAATTTAAAAATAGAAGAATATTTTAGTGAATTGAAAGAAAGATCTGAGCTTATAGACCGAAAGGGCACAGGAACACACAGAAAGAATAAACAAAAGAAAGAAAGAAAAAGAAAGAAAGAAAGAAAGAAAGAAAGAAAGAAAGAAAGAAAGAAAGAAAAGACAGACATCTAAGCATGAAACTCCTGAATTCCAAGATTAAAGAAAAACATTTCAAGTTTCTAGACAGAAAGAGCAAATTATGTACAAAGGGAAAAGAATCCAGTTGACCCCGGGACTCTTCATCTGCACCACTGGAAGCTGACTAACATGGGGACAGTGAGAGAAAAGGACGGTGGCCCAGGGACTCATTCTCAGCTGGAAAGCTTTCACCTGTCAGAGCAAAAGAAAGATATTTGGAGCTATAGAAGATTCAAAGAGTATATCAATCTCCTACCTCAATTGAGGAAAATATTCAAGAAAAAAATTTGGTTAGGGAATAGAGAAGTCAAGGTAGAGGAAGATGAGGGGGAGAAAAAAACCCCTGCAGTGAGCAAGAAAGTTGGCAAAATATCGTACTGTTAAATGTTTATGGAGCTTGACAGACACCTAATTGTATCTAGGACCATAAGTACTGTGCTATCTCAGCCAAACCTAGGAATTGGAAGCAGAATAAGAGAGATCAGTGAAAGTATTCTAAAGGTCTCTCTTACTGGGGTAGAAAATAAAACATCTGGCAGGAAATAAAACATCTTAATGGAAGAAACTATTGGTATATTAAAAATGATGGTAAAGAGGTAGGTATTGAATTATCAGTGGTGGGAAGGAAGGTAACCATCAAGGGAATGGAAAGGTTTAGTAGAACTTCCAAGATAACAAGGGAGTAGGGGAAGGGGAATGGATAGCAGCAACTTGCTATGGAATGATTAAAAAACATACAAGATGATAGAAGAAATGAAACCAAGGGGTGTCTGGATGGCTCAGTTGGTTAAGCCTACAACTCTAGGTTTTGGCTCAGGTCATGATCTTGAGGTTTCATGGGTTAAAGTCCTGTGTCAGGCTCTACACTGCCAGTGAAGAAACTGCTTGGGATTCTCTTTCTCCCCCTCTCTCTTTCTAAAACAAACAAACAAACAAACAAACAAATAAGCAAGCATTTAAAAAACTCAGGCTATCATTAAACATTTTTTTTAATTAAATTAGATTTAAAAATTAAAAAAAAGTCCTCTCCTTAGAGTGACTACAAAGTCTGGCTTCTGGAGTATTTCTGAACATGAATATCTTGACCTTCTGAACCCATACAGTCAGGACACTCTTCATTTTTTTAAAAAATATTTTTATTTATTTCTAGGAGAGAGAGAGAGAGAGAGACAGCATGAGCAGGGGAGGGTCAGAGAGAGAGGGAGACATAGACTCTGAAACAGGCTCCAGGCTCTGAGCTGGCAGTCAGCACAGAGCCCGATGCGGGGCTCGAACCCACGAACCGTGAGATCATGACCTAAGCGAAAGTCGGACGCTTAACCGACTAAGCCACCCAGGCGCCCCAAGACACTCTTCATTTTAAGGTCCACTTTATAGCTGTGGATACTGTGACTCACGAGGTTAAAACAGTTGCATAAGGTCTGTCGGGCATTTCCTTTCCTGGGTCCGTGGAGGGACAGGAGGCCTGCTAGGTGCCCTCTCCAAATGTGCTAGAGGTTGCCGGCAGTAGCAGGATTAAGGGGTGTGGAAACGTGAGCTGGGGTAGGCGTAGAGGTGGAAGGGAAGGTGAGGTTGGGTTTTGGGGAGGGTTGAGGCACCGGAAAGGCAAGGCAGGATGCCATCCCAAACCCCCAGCCCCTCCCAGCACAAAGTCTTGCTGCTGCAGACACAGTTCTTCATTGGTGCCTGTCAAATGTGGGCCCACATATTGAAGGAAGGAATAAGCAAATGAATGAATAAAAAGAGACATAAACTTTATTATTGTATTGGAAACAGTACAAAGAAAGAGCCAAACCTTTCTCAGATCTTGGTGGCCCTCGTTTCTCTAAGCCACCCCACATTCACCAAATCTATAAGATCCTTCAAGTATCCCCAAGTCTGGACCGTCATGAGGTAGGAGGGGGCTCTGTGCCCAATCTGTGGGGCTGGCAGCTCAGGAGCCACCACCACTGTGAGTCTGTGCTTAGCGGTTCTACAGGTCCCTAGAATCTCAGATCTCAGTCCCTGGAATTCCCTGGTGGGGTCATGCCTGCCACACCCCCTTGACTTGGAGCTAGATCTAGGATTGTAGGGAGAGGAGCTCTGGTCCGAGGCTTTGTAGGCAGAGAAGGACTCGGTGGTATCCCCAGGAGAGTGACGGTCCTCTGTCTTCTAGGTATGGCAGGACCAAGATCGAGGTGTCACCAGCCCCCAGAAGGTTGTCTGTGCCAGAGAAAGGTGGGTTATGCAGGAGTTCCCTCCTGTCCCCACCCTACACATCCAAGACATGGGAGCCCATCACCCCCAAGCCAGGTCTAGCCCCTGACCATGGCTGTTGAATTGGACAAGAACAGGGGGCTGGCTGTTGGAGAGTGGAAGGATGTCCTTCTGGAGAGGGAGCTGAGTGAGGGTTGTGGTCCCTTACCTGGGGTAGGGGGCAGTGTCGCCGTGCATACCATTCCTGGCAGTACAGGCTGACCTGGATGCCTTGGCCCAGAAAGAGCAAGGTCCACATTAGCACATTCCATGCTGGGCCTGTGTGCCGATCATGCATCATGAAGTTCAGCAGCCCTGATGCAGGAGGAAAGGTTGTTACCCCAATTCCAGGTACCTATGCCTTGTCTCCCTGGCTGCCCGTCCCTCCCCCCACCAATCCCAGGGCACTGGGAAGAGATGGAACAGGAAGGCATCATTGGGGAAGATCTTGAACCCAGCTCCAGCAACCCATGGAGGTCTCAAGTGGCTCATGGAAAACGAGGATTCCTCAGTTTACACATCAATATCCTGGAGCTCATACTACCTCCCATCCACACACCAGTTTTCTCTCCTTCGTCTCCCTTTATATGTGTCCCGCTCAGATGCTCCAGTCCAGCCAGCAATCTTCTCTCACATCCGCCAGGATACCTCCTGCTGCTTCCCTCCCTGCTCCCAAGTTCCCCCCCACCCTAACTTTCATGCCTCCCTCCAGAAGGGTGTGTGGCCTCCCCCGTCAGTCTGGAATCTTTAGGAGCAGGACTCCTGGCCTCCTCCCTCTGGATGGCTCCCCCTCCAGTGGCGCACAGGCCAAGCTCACCTCCGAAGACAAGGAAGAGCATCAGCATGACAGGATAGAAGAATCCCAGGACAAAGCAGAAGATGTACTCATGGACCACGGCAGAAACCAGGAACACACCCAGCATGGCTGCCCCTCGGGCCCGGCCACCAAGAAGCTGGCAGGGGTGGGAGGAGAAGGGTGGAATGAGTCTCTCTAAGACTCTTCCACAAAGAGCCCCCTCCTTAAGGAAAGTGTACGGTGCAATGGAAAGAATATGGGATTTGGGGGTCTGAAGGGCTGATACGCCTTATTTAAGTTCTTCAGGTCTTACATGCAATTTTTAAAAGGGGATAGAATAATACTTCTCAGGATTACAGTGCAGATTATGTATGTGAAAAGTCTTTGTAACTGAGAATTGCTATATGCATGTTCCTTAGAAGGCTAAGGAGAGAAGTGCTCTTTGGAGGGGTGGAGTTAAGGGTAAGGAGGGAAGGAAGTTAGATCACAAGAAGGATTTTCTGCCCACTGATTTAGGTAGAAGGGAGTAGGTGGAAGTCAAGGGGGCTCCTTTCCAAGTCTGGAAAAGGCAGATGATGCAGAGGGAGGGAGGAAAAATGTCCTGGAGAGGCTCCATTAACTATGAGAGCTGAGGGGGTCCACAGAGCCCATACCCACAGCCCATCTTGATAGACGTAGCTGTACAGCCAGTCATGGACCACCACGTTCCAAGTGCGGTAGTAGTTGGAGAAGGACGTGGAGTTCCACCAGTCCTGGAGAAGAGTGGGGTCAAGGTCAGGGTTAGGACAAGGAGGTGAGCATCAGGGGCCTGACTCTTCCCAGGCCCCAGCGGCTCCCCGTTGGCCCCTGCACCCTATCCCAATGCTCTCATACAAGGGGCTGGCCCTTGGCTGAAGAGGGACAGCAAGCACTCTTCCAGCAGTCTCTTCAGGCCCGCATTCCCTCCTTGACCCCCTCTCAGAAGAAGATGGTTCCTGTGTACCATGCACACAGAAGCAGTTAGCCCTGGCTAGTCAAGAGGTGGACAGGTGGCATTAGAACCACACCCAGAGGAGCGCATTTCTCACGTGAGAGCTGGACAACACAGCTGAGGTGACACCCAGCGGGGCCACCATCCTCCCGGGATCGCTCCCCAGACCTCCCTGCACCCAGCTCCCAAGTGGCCAGGTCCAGGCCCCACCCGATAGAACATTCTGTCTCCAAACCGTAGCATCTCTGCGAAGGCATTGAGCCAGCAGTGGAGGAAGGCAAAGAAGATGAGCAGCAGCATGAAGATGCCTGGTGAGTGGGGACAAGGGCAGCAGGTCAGGTTGGCCCACCTGGCTCTCCTGGGAAGCTCTAAGGGGCCCTCATCAGCAACCAGGGCCCCAGTTCCTTCTGGCCATTTATTAGTCACTCACTAATTCATGCATTCATTAACCCATCCCTCTGCTCATGAACTCCAAGCCAGATGTTGGGAATGCACAGATGACTCTCAAAGTCCCTGGTCATTGGCAATTCACAGAGTGGGTGGAGAGAGACAGAGACAGAGTGAGAGACAGAGACAGAGATAGAGGCAGAGATTGGGACAGAGACATGTCCAACCATGTGTCAAGGTCAAATGTGCTGGGAGCTAAGCACAGTGGCCATTGAGATGGTTGGGAGTACAGAGCAAGGGTGATTGATGATTGGGTCACCAAGGGTCATGGTGATGGATGGCTAAAACTAACAGGCTTCCTAGAGGAGGAGGTATCTCAGTCATGGGACTCCAAACATGGACTGGATTTCACAGCCAGAAAATGGGGAAAGGGCATTCAACCTGAGACACCAATATGAGCAAAGGCCCAAGGCATGAGAGTGCATGTTTTTCGAAGAATGGCTGAGCTTGTGGCAGGATAAGAAGATAGGCTAGGTTGTCCGGGAAGGGGCCTTGAATGCCAAGCCCAAGGGGTCAAATCTTTTTTTTTTTTTTAATGTTTTTTATTTATTTCTAGGAGAGAGAGAGAGAGAGAGACAGCGTGAGCAGGGGAGGGTCAGAGAGAGAGGGAGACACAGACTGAAACAGGCTCCAGGCTCCGAGCTGGCAGTCAGCACAGAGCCCGACGCGGGGCTCGAACCCACGAACTGCGAGATCATGACCTAAGCGAAAGTCAGACGCTCAACCGTCTAAGCCACCCAGGTGCCCCCCAAGGGGTCAAATCTTATCTGGAGATGCCAGCAATGGGGAGTCACTGGAGTTTTTGAAACCGAGTAGGGAATGATTAACCTATAGGAGGGAAGTTCATCTGGGCAGCAGTGTCGGGGGAAGGTAGGAGAGGAAAGACTGAGGGGGAAAGCAGACAGACGAGGAGGCCAATGTAGACAGAGGGACTGGAGTGGTCATCTGAATGAACTGAGATCCTGGCAATGAATAATGGGAGGAGGGGACACATGCGGGAGAAGTTCGGAGGCGGGAGGCATTGAATCTGACTGAAGAGGAGGAGCAAGGGGAAGGTGGAGGCCCCTGCTAAGCCTTCCCAGGGAGCAGCCCTCCCCAGCCCTGCCTTCGGTGAGCATACCTGGTAACGTGGCATGCATGATAGACAGCACCAGAGCCCGGGTACTGAAGGGCTCCCGGCTCATGTTAGCAAAGACAGGAACACAGAGGCGGCCCAAGATGAAGCAGGCATAGAGTACGCAGCCCAGGGCCTGGGGGGAGGCAGGTGGGGGACACATAACTTTAACAGGGATTGCTAGCAGCTGCCCCCTCAACTCTGGAATTGGATTCTGGCCCAGCACCTGCCTCCTCTTACTTTAGCCCCACCCTCTGACCTTCCTCCCCAGGCCTCCCCGACCTCACTCCCAGGAATGCCCCCTCAGTCACCACAAGGCACCCTTCTACCCCATCTTCTGACCTGGGCAAAGTTCTTGGCCACATAATTCCACCTGACGTTGGGTGTCCTGCAGCAGCAACGGGGACAATATGTTTTCAGTCTTATTATCTTTTACCTTGTTCCATGCCCACTGGTACACAGGTTCTAGGGCCCTCTCTCCAAAGCTCCCTCAATTGCTCAGGCCTGAGAGGATTATCTGGGGAGGGAAGGGTCTAGAACACTTTGGACCTTCCATAATAGACATGGCGAATGGATTTTTAGCTTGAATGTCAACTAAAGTAACCAACCATTGGGAGATTGCTCCAGACCAATGGGTTTCCCAGGGTGCAGGATTTTCAGTGCTAACACTGGGACAGTCCAGGGCCACCCAGGACAGTTGGTCACCCACGTGTCACACCCTCCTGGGTTGTGCTTGGAGAAGGGGTAGTCTATCTGACACCTATTTCCCACTTTTATTATGGGGTGCTTCCTGAGAAAGTGCTCAGTGCCTGGGGGTGAGGCTAAAGACATCAGAGAGAGGAAAGTAGGAGGGCAAGGTCCCTGGTTGGCCTGAGCATTTGGGAAAGAGGTGGAGAGTCTTACCTGGGGTAAGTCTTCCTGTAGATTAATGTGGGGCAGAAGAGGAAGTAAAGGTAGCTGGAGAAACTGGGGGCCCGTATGCCCTCACCTGGGGAGGAGGGAGAGGGCTTGGATCAGTGAAGTGGGGAGGGAGAGAGGGCAGGGGGAGCGGAGGCTGGGATTGGTGGGGTGGAGGGCTGGATGGGGCAGAGGTGCGGGGTGGGGGCTGACATTGTGCCCGGAGGTGCAGTTGGGAAGGTGAGACAAGGCAGGAGCTGAAGCTGCCCTTTGATGCCCTTCTTTTGCTCCATCCCAGACACCCTATTTCTAGTGCAAGACCTGCTGTGGCCAGAGTTTCATTTGGCACCTGTAAGCCTCACCACGCATTCTTTCTCTCCTTCTGCTCTGACTGCTCCCCCCGCTTTAAAAATGATTTTATTTTTAAGTAGTTTCTACACCCAAAGTGGGGCTCGAACCCATAACCCTGAGATCAAGAGTCGCATGCTCTGCCAAAAGAGCCAGTCAGGCACATCAAGGACATACGTCCATCTGATCTTAAGTCCAGTGCCTTAATCACTCGGTCATTCTGGTACCTCCTAACTTCCTAACATAAGGCTGTCATACTCTGGGTCTTTCCAGGCTAAGCCTGGAAATTGGAAAGCCCCAGCCTCTCTCCCCAGAAGTCCTAGGCAACAGAGGTACCATATCTCAGAGGTGGGAACTGAGGACACCTAATGACTAAGGCCCACAGAATCTAGTTGGAGGCCAGAGTTCTGCCCTGGGGGCAACACAGGCTTAGGAAGTCAGAGCTTGTATGAGAATCCTGGTGCAGCTGGCTTGATTCAAATAGTCAAAATGACTGAGTTCATAGCAGCGCCAGGCAAAGACCTCACCTCCTCTGGCACAAAGGGTCCCAGGCACAGCCTCTCTCAAGAAGGAGTAGCTCTTCATTAGGAGCCTGACCTGAGAAGAAATGGAAGGGAGGTTAAGTTGCTGTGTGGCTTTGAGCAAATCACTTAACATCTCTGTGCGCTTGTTTACCAGAGAGAGAGGCCGGCAGATTGCAAAATCTGTACCGTCGAAGCCCATACTTTATCTTTTTGTCAGATAGTCTTCTAACCTAACACAGGTGGCTGCTGGGATGCATCAAAGGTAAAGAGGTACAGGAAATGCCAGGGCAGAGCCTCCAACCAGCCAACCCCCCTGACTCCTTGAAAAATCTGATCACTTTTGCATATCAGCAAATTTCCTTGATTCCTGCTGGTGCCCTCAAATCCTTCCAGCCATACTCTGCCCCTGGTAACTAGCTCCGCCCCCACAAATACTGTAGTATTAAGTCCCCTTCCCCTCAGGGCCCCACCCCAGCCTCCCCTGTCCATCACCCCATCACCTGCTCGAAGACTAGGATACAGCGGGAGGCAGGAGGGAGCTGATACTTCAGGGCCACGTGGACCGGGAGGACCCAGAGCACCGCGGTGTGGGCAGCCAGCAGCAAGCAGCCCAGGCCCACCCCCAGCATCCAGGCCCCTCCTGCCCGGGGCCTGGCCCACAGGCGCAGGGCCTGGTAGGGCACCAGCAGAGTAGACAGGAACATGGGGACCCATGTCATCAGCGCCAAGGGCAGCTGTCCAAAGCTGAAGATCAGTAGGTCAAACTCCAGCATCAGCCTTGGAACGGAGAGGGAGAGACACAGTAGACAAATGTGTGGCCCATCCTTGTCCCCTCCCTGTGCAGCCAGAGCTCTTGGAAAATAAACTGAGGCATTTTGCCAGGGTTTCCAGCTCCCCATATCTGAAGGTGTTCAAGGTGGCACCTCTGTGGTCCCGAACTTCTAGCACAGGGCGTTGCTGGAGAAGACTCAATCATGGGATGGCTTTGCTTACAAATGACCTTGAGCCCGCTGAATTTTACGGTGCTGCAGAAGGACTCAGAACTTTGTATGCCGTGGGTATTAGAATATGAGGTTTTCAGAGTTTAACTTTGATTTCTGTTGATTGCTCTTTTGGGGTGTCTAGCTGTAGACACGAGTTCATGGAAAGCAGGTGGATAGGTATTTATTTTATTTGCTTAGGTTAAGGGTGTTTGGTCTGTAACGGTGAAAAGTTGGAAACAATCTAAATGTCCCTTGGTAAAGGACCAAATGAACAAAAGGCTGGCCTCTCCAGACTGCGGTCTTTAAGAACCGAAAGATCTCTGAGATGGGAAGATAGGTTCTTAAGGAGTGAAAAAAAAAAACAATAAGTACCGTGAATATCTTATTTATGTAAACCGTCTACACACACCTTCTTGGTTCTTATAGACACGTGGGGGTGAATGCATCACAAATGCTCTAGAGGGAATCTCTCAAGCCTGTGAAAACCCTTACCTCTGGTCTGGGGTTGAGGGGGTGGTAGGGAAGGATGGTCACTTTACAGGTATTTGAACTTTTTACTGAGATTTGATCCTTATACTACTCATAGAATTAACAACAGTTTTACCAGAAGGAAATACTGTTGCCAAACCCGTAGATCTTTGATCCTCTTCTTTTTACTGCTTCCTAAGCCCTATTTAGGGTGATGTAGGGGACGTGCAAATAAAGACCCCTGGGGCTACAGACCCCTATGAGGCTCATCCCAGTGTGGGGGGTGCTCTGTGGGGACGCTTGCGTGCATGTGCATCTATGAGATAGTGCCTCTTAGACAGGGAGGGGGTTGGCCCTCATCTCTCTGGCGCCCTGAGTGGGTACCTGGGAGGTGCTCCATGAAGGTGAACTTGGGAAGGCATGTGAGAGAGTGGTGCGGTGTGAAGTGTGCCTGTGTGCCTGCCCGTGTATCTGCCTCGGGGCACGTTTCCTGCTGAGAAGTATTTGAGCGGGGGCAGAGTGTCCCCAGAGTGGCTAACCTGGAAGGTCAGAGCAAGGACCATCCAAAGCTGTGGAAGGAAGAAGCTGAAGAGTGTGTTTTAGGTGGGAATGTTGTTGGAAGCAATGTTGATGTGTGTCCAATAATCAAAGGCTCAAAGGAGAGCTTGTGCTGTCTTAGGCCAGGGGCAAGTGGGACACTAGGGACCCAGGGGATCTGATCCCTGTGCCTATCTCAGGCAGGTGGGGGGCCTACCTGCCCTCATCAATGAAGTCGATGGCCAGGGTGCTGATGATGAAGATACACAAGCCGGCGATGAACATGTGGTAGATGGTGCGGAAATGCTGCACTTCCATCAGCTCGCTGGGGGGAAGGGGTCCAAATGTCAGTGTGAGAGGGTCCTCTAGGTCCTGCAGACCAGCTCAGGCACTGTCCATGCGTGGGGTTGGGACTAGTGATTGGGAACTTCCAGCTAAGGGCTGGGCGATGGCTGGGACTTCTCATCCTGGTGGCCTTTCTTCCACAATCACGCCCAGGGCAAATGGGGAAATTGAATTTTAGAAACCCTCTCCAAGTCTTCCCTCCAAACACTTAGAAGCTGAGGATGAGCAATGAGGTGTCCTGGGCCCCTCGCTGAATCCCTTTATCTTCCTCCCATCCCCTGCCGTTCACGTGGACTTACTCAAGCAGGGACTTTCGGATGATGAAAGTTTTCTGCTTCCCCAGGGATGGTTCCCGGGCCCTGAATGAAGACAGTTGTTCTGGGTCAGGACCCAGAGGAAAGAAGGCCCTGGGCGGAGAGCAGGGCCTCGCAGAAGGTCAATACTTGGGAGCCAACGGCAGTAGTAGACGAAGGTCAGGGTGAGGGCCAGAGGGCAGGAGCAGGTGGAAGGTCAGGGCCAGGGCAGAGCAAGGCCCTGAAGGTGGAGGTCAGTGTCGGGCAGGCAGAGGCGATAAGGGCAAAAGAGGGATGGTTGAAGTCAGGGTCATGCCAGTGCTGGCAAAGGATGTGTGAGATGGTATGTAGGGCTCATAACCGTTACGCTAGAGGAGCCTGCTCCAGCCAGCCCCCAGCCCCCAGGTCCTCAGACTCTTACTTGTTCAAGGAATCTGGAGGATTGGAAGGCAGAGGTCCGCCTTGTGGTGGGTAGGCCTGGACGGCCTCCTGCATGGCCCGATCCAGCAGCTCCAGCAGCTGTCCCTGTGCTTGCTCTAGCAACTGTGTCTTCACAGCCTAGAGGGCAAGGCAGGGCAGGGCCCGCTGTCCCTCCACCCAGGCAGCCATCGTCTCATTCCCTGTATATCTACTGAGCTTCTCTCTGTGTCAGGCACACTGCTAAGCGCTGGGGACAGACACATGAACAACCATGGCTCCTGCCCAGAGGTTCCCCCCAAAGTTATCTCTCTCTCTGGCTTCCCCAGGGCAGCACTGAGGACCAAGGAAAGACAATTCGGGTTCCAGGGCCTGGATCCCAACCATCTTATCGTCTCTGACCCTACTCCCTTCCCCCTGCGCCCAGCCTTCCCTCTCCTGACCTTTAGCCCCATGAACAGAAGACTGTTCACTGGCTCTGACTCTTGGTCCCTGCCCTGCTGACCTGTATTTCAAACCCCTCCATCGTAGCCCTTAGCTCTAACCCGATCTGAAAGGTTTGGACCCAAGAACAAATGGTCTTTATCACCAGGCTGGTCCTCGTCCCTTCCTCCTTCCACTCCCAAGACCTGTCCGCCTTGACCTCTGACCTCCCTCACCTCCATATGTCGGGTCCATTGCACCAAGTCCAGGCCTCTGTCCTTCTCAGTGTTTCCTAGGAAGAGGGGTCAGAGGGCACACCCAAGGGGGAGGGGGAGTTAGGGTTCTGTCGCCTTGTATAGAGCCAGAAACATCCTCTTTTCAGGAAATGCTTTCTGCAAGCTCAGCAGCCTTCCTGCCCCCAACCAGTCGATACCTAGTATCACAGTGAGGCGATCAGAAGGGGAAGTTATTTTTGCAGGGGGTGAGGCCATGGGAGCCTGATGCCATCACCCAGGGAGCGGGAAGCTACTCCACTCACCCTCTGGGGTAAGAGTCTGCAAGATAAGGCAAGGCCCCAGCTCCGAATAATCCTTTCACTTCCCTCTCCCAGCTGGGCAGCAAGGGACAGAGGCAGGGGCTGCCTTCCCTTTCTGCCCAAGATAGTAGGAGCCTGCTCCCAACAATAGGTCTCCACCTCCCCCTTCCCCCCTCCCGGAGCTTTCTGCATCCCCAGAGGGTGGCTCACCACCTCCGGAGCGTCGGTCGTCTTGCTCTCCTCTCGGCCCTTCTCCCTTCCGCAATCTGGCTGCCCTGGGCTCCATGATGTGAGTCCCGACCGGGCAGTAGGCGGCTATTGAGCGCTCCCTCCCTTCCTTCACAGCCTGCCAAGCTCTTATCTCACTCCGCTCCTCTGACAGCTCCAAAGACTAAAGTCCTTGGAGGAGGAGGGGACCTCCAGGAGCACAATCGGTTATCAGGTCTAAGAGGGTAAAGCTTTTCGGCTCCAGGCTCCGCTCTGCTGACTGTCCCAGGGATGGTTGCAACACCCAGACAGCCCTACCTCCGCCCAGATGCCCCACTGAGCGAGCTCTTCCTCCCACAGAACAGTGGCCGTGCACTATGCACCTATGGATGTCTGTGGGGAGGGGGACTTTGCCTCTCTGAGGCTTATCACCTAGCGTGACTGTGACTTGCCTGCCTGCCGGTCTCTTTCCCAGAGCCTGAAAGATCTTTAGGTATCAGTGCACCGGGCTCCCTTAGACCACGAGATAAGGTGTGTGAAAGAACCTTGTCAACTCAAAAGCATTGTATGCAAGTGATTACTGTTCCGATGTGACTAATGTTCTGTGACAAGGTGGTGCTCTGGCCCCTCCAGGAAGTGCTGGGTGCCAGCCCCTGACCCCCACCCCCACCCCCGCCCTCTCAGTCAGCTCTTCCTTCCACCTGCTGGGATTAGCATGTGGGCAAGGGAGGCAAACAAACACGTATTCAGCACCCAGGGAACACCAGGTATTGTCACAGACCACTACAAAGGAAGAACAAGACTGAAATCCTCCCTTTGTCATTTACCAGCTGTGTGCCTTCAGGCAAATGACCCAAATATTTTAAGCCACAGTTTCCTCCTCCCCAACACCGGGGCAAAAGTGCCTACCTCAAAAGGTTATTGTAAGCTCAAAGTGAGGTAGTGGAGGTAGTGCATGGGGCTGGCCCATGGGAAGGGCTCAGTAAATAAGAATTGCCTTCCCTATTTAGTAGGATGTAATAGAAGGGTAAGTGCTTTGAGACTTCCTCTTTGTTGGACTTCTGCTGAGGATTAACTATTAATCCTTTCTCTCTCTTTCCCCATTGTGTCCCAGGATTAGTGTTACAAACAAGGTCACAACCTCAGACCAAGGCCATGGCCCCATATTTCCCCTCCTCTTGCTCCCTGGTGGGTGGTTGGGTGAGGCTTGAGGGCTGGAAACCTCTGCCAATGGCCGTCTCCTGCATCCCAAGTGCACCAGGATCTACAGAAGGTAGTCCACAGAAAAGGAGAACTATGGGGGTGGGGGGGCAGATAGAGAGAAGGGCAGAGGCTCCATATATGTGAGAGGCAGACACAGAGACATAGGCCAGAGACCCCCCAATACAGCTTTATTAACATCCCTAGCCAATACCAACCACTGTCCATGTGTGGGGTCCCAAGGGTGAGGGGGACATGGGGAAAGGGCCTGAAGGTGGAGTGTGGGGCACAGGGCCCCTGAGTTACTCATCACTCAACAAATGACCCAAGATGACAGCCCCATGCTCCTGCCAGTGGTCCTGCAGCCCCCACCCCCCAGCCTTAGCCACTGCTCCCGGTGGGGCAGGAGGAGCCTCCGTCGCCCTCTGAGGACCCCGGCAGGGGCTGGCCCATCCGATCCACACACCAGCAAGGACCTCTGCGCTGGCCCTGGGAGGAGCGGCACTGGGGAGAGAGGATTAGGATCAGAGGTGCAGCACTGAGGCCCCAGCAGGAGGGATGGGAGGGTTTGTGGGTGGGGAGATGGCCTGTGGACCCCATGTCTGAGTGTGCAGAGAGCTCTGAGGGCTCTCGGGACAAGGAGACTCTCTGGGTTCCCTTCTCCACCCACAAAATGGTGCCCATTCTTCTAGGGAGAAGAGGAGTTCTCCAGGTGTGTTTCCCACACCAACAGCAGGCACCAGGTGCTGTGTTAGAAATGCAAATTCTCAGGCTCTGCGGAGAGGGCTTGGCCCTCTGTGGGTTCACAGCCCTACTTGACTCTGAGCCGCCTCACAGATGTGAACCTCTGAGTCAGGCAGTCTGGCTCCTCTACCACAGTGTGTGGCTATTTGTTTTGTTTGTGTGGGCCCTAAAGCTGGGAGATCCTTAAAGGCCAAGGTCTTCTTTGTGACCCTTTGTTTTTGTTGTTGTTGTTAATGTTTGTTTATGTATTTATCTATCTATGTATCCACTTATTTATTTTGAGAGAGAGTGAGCACCGGGAAAGGGCCCAGAGAGATCAAGGCAGAGAGATAGGGGGACAGAGGATCTGAAGCAGGCTCTGAGCTGACAGCAGACAGCACAATGCAGGGCTTTGTGCTCACCCATACACCGTGAGATCACATCCCGAGTCGGATGCTTAACCGACTGAGCCACCCAGGTGCCCCTCTTTGTGCCCTTTTGTAAATTCTCCCTCCCCCATTCCTGGTAGGAGCTGTGTGCCACAGGACCAAGGGGAGGAGAGGAGGTGAGGGGCCTCACCTGCCGCTTCCGGTAAAAGCCCCGATGGTCACAGTTAGGCACGTAGAGGGTCTGAGCCCCTCGGTACACTTCGGTCTGGAGTTGCTGCAGCACCGAGTCCAGATGCCTGCGGCACGGGCCCTGGGGGAAGGGAGAGTAGGCAGCTCAGGACCGGTCCAGTCCAGCTCCACTGTACATCCCCCTGGCGCCACCAGCCAGGCTCCCAGGACGCCTGTGGGAGACTTCTCCAAGCCCAAGGGGTCAGCCTCAGATGGGTGTGTCTGGGACTCCCCACCCCTCCTGCTCCATGCCATTCGCAAACGCACCATCTCGGTGTCTTGGACAACCCCTGGACTGGGCCGGTTGGGAGTGGTAGAGGTCCCCGGATTCCTCTGTTGGTCTCTTCGGTTCACATCCTGTGGGCGAGTGGTCCCTGCTTGGGGTTTACTCTCCTTAGGATTCTCCCCTACAGCCACAAGAGAAATGGGGGAAGAAAAGAAGAGTCCAGAAATCAGCCAGATGTCAAAGACCAGAACCAAATGGAAGAGAGCCTTGCTCACCCTGACTCCCCCAAGTGGGAGGAAGAGAGCGGCTTTCCAAGTAGTAGAAACGAGGGTGGTTAGAACCTGGCTCCGTTACTTTCTCCTGGCTTCAGTTACTTTCTCTGACAAATGGTGATATTAGCTTTCCTGACGAAAAACCCCGGACTAGTTTTAAGGCTTATAAGGGAGAAGCACTTTGGAAAGCAAAAATCGAGGACAAGTACAAATACATTGGGAGGCCTTGGGCTTGGGGAGAAAAAAAACCCTGGCTGTTCCCCCTGAGGCCAGCAGGGGGTGCACCAAACCAGGGATATGAGACAAGAGCAAGGGATGTGGGAGGGGGTTAGCAGGGACCCAAGTGGAATGTGTGTCCCCGCTGTGACCCTGCTGTGACTCAGCCCACCCCTCCCAGGCTTTAGACATGCTTACTTTCGGGGCGCTTGCAGTGGGGGCATCTCCCTTCTGGTTTCCCATAGCTCAGCCTAGCTCAACCCCAGTGATCCCAGGAGCAGGTACGATTCAGCCCTTAACCAGGACAGGTAGAGGGCAGGTTGCAAAGATGCAGGGAATGAAGGGTTTCTGACCTGCAGGCTGCTCTTGGCTCTGGAGAAGTGTCACACGTGGTATCTGAGGGGCCTGGGGAGAGCTCAGGATGGGGGGAGGTGAGGAAATAAATCAGGGCGTCAGGGTGAGGGAAAGGCAGGGAGGAGAGTGTGTGCACTGCCTGGAAATTGCCCCAGCTGTAAAATTAGATAGTATGGCCCCTAAAGGGATCGTCTCTCCCTTTCCATGCCCAAGGACAAGCTCCCTGCAAGTCGCCCTTCCTCAGACCTAGACACTTGCTCCCACCTGCCTACTACCTGCAACCCAGGAGCAATTTCCTCTGCAATCCTGACTCTGATCCTTCTTCCTCCCCCTTTCTCAGACCTTGCCTCTCATTCCCTCCATTAGGACCCTACCACGACCATGCTCCCACTGTCTCCTCAGACCCACCTACACACCCCTTTCTATGAGGACCCCTGGCAGCTTGGACCCAGGCATTTGAGACTGAAAGAAACTTCAAGTTAATTTCTGATCCCTTCCCATGGAGGCAACCAGGAGATCAGATGCCCCTGGTTGGGGGGCAGGGGAGGGGCTGCTTTTATTTCCTGCCCTATCTTTCCCTGATGTCCCCCATCTTTTGGGTTCTGACTCACTTCTGTCCCATCCACCCAATGACTCAGCCTTCTATTTTCCTCCCTAGGGTAGGGCGGGGTAGGGTGGGAGGAGGGTTCTGAGCAGCTTTAAATCATAACCCTGATTTGGCAGATTCCTTCTTTTCCCACCTCTATCCCATCCTCTTGAGCCCCCCAGAACCTGCTCTCTGACCCTAGTGTAGTCTGAAACAATTCAGGATTTGGAACATCTTCTGTTCTAGGCCCTATGTTCAGGTGCTTCGGACACCCTGATAATAAAAGGAGAGGAGAGGGTATTCCTCCAACGTGTGTGTGCAAGTCTGGGTTCCCTTCCCCCCTTGGAATCTGGGAACATCCGGGTCCTTTCTCCAGCTCCGGGGGTCCAGGCAGGCGAGGAGCTGGGATGCTGTGGCAAAAGGCATGGACCTAAACTCTTCCATCCTCATCTTTCCCTTCAAGAGAAAATAGAAAGGGCAAGAAGGTGGGGAGCTCAGACATTTCCCTGCTTTATCCCCAGGGCCCCTAGCTGTACCGCAGCCTTCTAGCGGCTCCCCGCACTTGCCACTTCACCCCCCAAACGTGACCTTCTGGGTTAGGAAGAGGAAGCATCTATGGCCGAACCCAGAGGCTTGCAGGGCTGCCCGCGGCCTCCTTTCCAGGGAGACCCTGCCTGCAGCCTTGCGGGTCTCACGTGGGCGGGGCAGGGGCGGGGCGCGGACTCACCCGAGGACGCGCGCGCCCGGCGGCAGCGGCCGCGGCCCAGCAGCAGCGCCCGCAAAGGCGCTTCGTCTTCCTCGGGCGGCTGGCACTGCAGTCCTGGGGCGCAGTTAGGGGTGTAGACCCCGCACTGCTGCCCCTCCCTCCTGAGACAGCCCCCAGCTTCCTTACAGCCATCCGCCGGCGGCCCCCCATCCTCCTCCACGCAGCCCCCTGGACAACCCGCTTGCACCCCCTGCCCGCAGCCTGGGCACCGTGCCAAGGCGGCTTCTGAGTGGGCAGCGAGCAGCAGAGTTAGCAGCAGCAGGGGCGGCAGCAGCCTGCGGGGGGTCATGGTCAGGATTTTTGCCCCGTCCACTCCTCCCAGAGCAGTCGTAGCACAGCTGCTGCCCGCCGCCGCCCCTCCGCCTTAAGTAGCCGTCGGTCAGGGGCCGGGCCCTTTAAGAGCCAGGTGAAGGGGGGTGGGGGAGAAGGCAGTGGCATTCCCTAAACTGGGTGGGACTGGAGAGGCTCCCCCCCAACCTGGTCCTCCCCACTTTTCTCTCCCCACTCCCTTCCCAGTTTCTGTTTACTTCCCAAATTACTCTGATTTTTCTTGCTTTGTTCCCGGGACTCTCGGAGGGCGGAATTTGGGAGCTGGACAGCTGGCTGGAGGGACTGGAGGGTGGGGAGGGGTGGAAGAAGGAGAGAACGGGAATTGGATGAAGGGAAAAGCCTTGAATCCAGTGCGAGTGTCTATTGTGTCGGGGGTGAAGGGGACGCAGGGACTCTGGTGGGGAGGGAACGACAGTCTGAAAGGGACAGGGAAGGGATGGTGTGTGGGAATCACGAGAGAGATGTGTGCCAAGGGAAAGAGAGAAGGCAGAGATGATGGATAATGGGGTCTCAGGATAACCCACCGCTGATGGGAGAAAGTAGCCCAAGGGAGAGGCAAGGAGGAGCCGGGCCTGAGATGTTAGTGTGGGAAAATGTGGGCCAGGGGGCCAGACTGGGCTCAGGTGATTGAAGGAGTTGGGGGGAGCAAGGGGGAGAGATGGGGAGAGGGTGGGGAAGCACACCTTGAATGAATAGGCTTTAACAGTAGGATTAAAGTAAGGTCTTGGGAGTATCCCAGAGGGCCCGGTGTGCAAGGGTGACAATGCTCTGAACACCTGGGAGGTAGGGACAGGGTAGTGGTAGGGATTGGCCCATTGAATTAGGGAGGTGTTGGTGTATGGGGTGGGGGGGGAGGGGGTTGGAGCACAAGTTAGCAGGAACCCACACTCTGGATGCTCTTGGGAACAGTGGGCAGAAAACAGCCCCCCCCCTTCTGTCATTCATCCAGGTCAGCCCACTCCTCCATTCCTTTCCTTTCTTAGAATCTGCCCCTCCACCCCCCACCCCAGGCATAACCCATTGGGTTTTCTGGATTCATCAAGTTTTGCTTTGCCCAGGGGGCCACTGGACCTGGAGAGTCTGGGTATTTCTTCCAGCTGGGCAGCCTTCACCACACTGGTCTGTCTACCCCACCCCCACCGCCCCCAGCCCCCACAGTGGCTCTCCGGGACAGTGCCCCACCCATCCCCAGCCTCCTAGCCTTCCTAGAGGCAGGAAGAAGGACCGCTTCCTTTGGCAACTCACACCCGCCCTGCTCTGGATTACGCAACAAGGGCCATCTCATTCTTTCCTAAAACAAGAGCTCTGGGCAGTGGCTAAGTTTAAATTCTGGGCCCCCAAGCAATAATGTCAGCAAGGGCTTCCTGAACTTTGAGGTAAATACAAAAAAGAACTTCATCCCCAGTACCCCTCCGCCCCCTTCCCTGGCCACCCTGGGACCCTAGAACATGAATTTGGGGAGCAGTGCCTTGAGGTAGCTCTGAGGCACTGACGCAGTTTGGACAGGCTTGGGGGGGGGGTTGGGAGAGTGGCAAGGGGGCAGCTGTCCTCTACTCTGCGGAGACGCTATGACCTCCTGCTCCACGCTCTCACCCCAGGGTGGAGAGCTCTGTCCTGTCCCCAAACCCTTATCACTATTTATTTTGCTTTACACGTGGGCTCCAGCTTGTTGCTCCTGGTAAAACAGGAAGGCCCCTGGGAAGTTTGGGAGGGGGAAGAGATGGCGGTGCTCCCTGCGGGATTCACGTGGCTTTTTAAGTGTTTTTGCTTCTCCTTTGTAGGTCATACTATGTAGGAAAGCTCAATGCTTGGCTAGCCTCTCATATCCGTTCTCAAACTCCCCCTTCCCTCTCCTGTACGGCCACCAACCCTACAAGAGATGCCCCGGGTTTGCTGCTCCCACCCGCCCGCCCTGCTTGCTCTCTCCCTACGGTGCGTCCAGTACCACTGTCCAGTACGCCCCCCCCACTGCCGCTGCAGCTGCAGGGTCCTGCCCTTTCCCCACCCCTCCAGTCGGGTGTCCAGAGTGGCACACGGTGGATGCTGGAGTCTAACCAGTTTCTTCCTTGCAGACTGAGCCTCTTGGACTCTGCTTTTCCCGCCTTGGGGGATGCCCTTCACCACAGCACGGGGAGCAGTGGGATCTAAAGCACGTGGTGAGTGCTCAGGACGGAGCGTGGGCCCAGGTGCAGACCTCTGGGACCCGGGCTCCTTGAGAGGGAAGAGTTTGCTGAAAGCTTTTCCAAGGCTTGGGCTATTGCTTAGGCTTTTCCAGAAGTGAGCTCTGCTGGGCCTCCTCCTCCTCCTTTTGCATCGGACACTCTTTTCTTTGGATCTCTTATGCTCTCTGTCTCTCACACCAGACTGTCTGTCCTAATCCCTGGCGGCCCAGGTGCTGACTTCCTTTTGAGAACAAGGGGTAAAGGAAAAGGCCTGCCTAGACCCTTTTGAGCTTTGAGTCTGAGCAAAGACAAGTGGCGGCCCATTTCACAGATAGGAAGCCCTGGGGATGCAGATCGATGACCACATCATGACATGGCCCAAGTCTGGCATGGGCCGGATGGGGACTCTTCTGATAACCTCAGCTGGCCTCCAGCCTTCCGTCCTGCAGTCTCCCACACAGCCTTCCAGTCGGTCCTGCCGCACTCAGTCCTGATCATGGGACTCTCTTCTTCTCGAAGGCCTCTGGTGGTATTCCATGTGCCCTCCCTCCCACCCTGATAAAACCTGTGCTCCCGTCTACCATCCATGGCTCTGGGACCGTGACCCTGGGAGCACACTCTGGTTCAGCCAGCTGGTTGGGTCACCTTCCCCAGAACCCCCTGGCAGTCTCCCATCTCTGGGGCTGAACCGAGATTAGGGGACATGAAGGTGTGGCCTAATTGGTGCTCTGAGGGCACTTCTTCCCCTGAATTCCAAGCATTCACCACACAGGGACAGAACCTTCATTCCCCTCAACACAAATCAAATCCCAGTCACCTCGTCCCCACCTGCTCAGCAGGCAGGCCAGCCCTCTGCCTTACTTTGAATTCATCCACATTATTGTGTGGCTATCTTAAGTTTTTGTTTATCTTTTCACATGTCTTACTTTTCCAGTTAGATTGTGAGTGCTTTGAGAACAGGAGCTCCACACCCTCTTCATCTCTGGGCCCCCAGCTAGTGTATAAGGAGTTTGGAATTGATACAAGAAGAAGTAGGTATTTTTGGAGAGAGCAGAGGTAGTCCTGGGGGAGGGCATTGAGAGGTGAAGGGGGGGCACATTGAACCTCTTCTGGGGGCTCCATCATCGCTCCTATACTTCTGGGCTAGCCCAGCCTGCCCCAGGAGGTCTCCTGGCCCTCCACCCCTTTAGCCGTCCTCTCTCTTCTCTTCTTCCTCCTCTTGCATTCAGAGTAAAGGCCAAAGAGTCTAAGAGGCCCAGAGTGTGGTCAGGGTGCAATAGGAGAGAGCCATCTGGCTCCGGAATTAGTTAAAGAGGGCATCCTGGAGAATGGAGCTTTATAACAGAGCTTGGAAGAAGAGATGTGAAGGCAGCAGGCCATTTTTCTAGACTGGGCTGGAGTCGGCCAGACAGCTGGGAAGGAACTGGGGATCTGAGATTTACTTCTTTGTGATTAAATGAATAAAGTATATTCAATAGATTCAGAGAGCATTTATTTATGTGAATATAACTGGGTTATATGGACGTAATAAGGAGGCGTTGTGCTCTCTAAGAGCTTAGAGTTTATATCTGTCCATCCAACATATAATTTGTAAACACTTAAAAAATCAACAAGGCTGCTAGAGTATTCAAGGATAGAATGTACACTGTTGGAAACGAGTCTAACTGTATTATAGATCTATGACATAAATACACTGATGGTGGTGAGGGGAAAAAGGTGATGACCTCAGTAACTCTAGAAAATAGGATTTTGAGTGGAAACTGTAAGGCTAAAGATAAAAGGCACAGCATAATCTACATAAACACTGTGCTCTAGTTGATATATTTTCTCCTGGGGTTATAGGTTAAAAACTTTTGAAACTGCTTTACATGGATAGCAGGGGTTGAACAAAAATAAGTTATGGATATTGGGAGCCAGGTTTCTCATTGTTGGTGGGAGAAATTACAGATAAGTAAGGGGAGAGGTTAGGATGTATCCTGTGGTGCTTGGAGTCAGAGATGTCAATATGAACTCATGTTTGGCTCAATATACATACGAATGGGTAAATACAGAAGCAGCTGCAGATAAGTGTATATACATGGGTTAGCACACATACACATATTATCTAACTGTTCACTGAGAGGGCCTAGAAGCAATGGCACCCCAATAGCAGTGAGCACAGCTAGACCCAGATCTTGGTTTCTAAGTACTGTTCTCCAGTAAAAAGAAGTAAAATTCCTTCTAGAAATAGCTGATTCTAAGACTGGTTCAGGGGAACACAAGCTGAGCTAGAGCATCTCATAGTATCAGAAAGTAAGGAAGTGTTCAAGAAACAACAGGGTTGGGGGCACTTGGGTGGCTCAGTTGGTTGAGCCACCTACATCGGCTCAGGTCATGATCTCTCGGCTTGTGAGGTTTTTTTTTTTTTAATGTTTTTTATTTATTTCTAGGAGAGAGGGAGAGAGAGAGACAGCGTGAGAAGGGGAGGGTCAGAGAGAGAGGGAGTCACAGACTGAAACAGGCTCCAGGCTCTGAGCTGGCAGTCAGCACAGAGCCCAACGCGGGGCTCGAACCCACGAACCGCAAGATCATGACCTACGCGAAAGTCGGACGCTTAACTGACTAAGCCACCCAGGCACCCCTCGGCTTGTGAGTTTGAACCCTGCGCTGGGCTCTGTGCTGACAGTTCAGAGCCTAGAGCCTGCTTCAGATTCTGTCTCCGTCTCTCTCTGTCTCTGTCTCTGCTACTCCCTGCTCACGCTCTCTCTCTCAAATATAAGTAAACATCAAAAAAAATTTAAAAACAACAACAAGGTAGGAGCATATCAAAGAGACAGAAGAACCAACCCGAAAGAACTCCCAAAGGTCAAAGCTGAAAAACTTTTGTGCAACAA